GCCGCACTTTAACAGCATTTATAAGTAACTTATAAACTGAGTAACAAAGTTGGTTTTCATCATATTTGTTCAACTGACAATGTCTCTGAAGTGAGTGATTCATATATAAACCACATTTGAGTTGCACTTGTCCAGTGTTTGTGTGGCTTTTTTTTGTGTTTTTTTTTTTTTTGTTTTTTTTGTAGTATCTAATATTTTATTTTACACTTTCAGCCGGTACATGTGCTCCCATCACAGCTCTGAAACAATACAGGCACAGTGGAACTGAGAAAATCAGCCAGACGTCATCACCATGTTGGAGGAGGACATGGAAGTGGCCATCAAAGTGGTCGTGGTCGGCAATGGAGCTGTCGGCAAGTCCAGTATGATCCAACGTTACTGCAAGGGCATTTTCACTAAAGACTACAAAAAGACAATTGGAGTGGACTTCCTGGAAAGGCAGATACTGTAAGATGTTCATTTGAAAGATGTTCCACATTATTTATCAGTTATAGTCTATAATCAAAGTCACAGAGGGTCTGTTAACTAACTACAACTTCAGCTGTATAAAATTGTTTTACAATATTAAATACATATTGGAATGTGGAATCCTGTTGGTACCCACATTTTAGGTTTAATCAGAAATTACTCTTTTTTAAAAAACTGAATTTTACTACATTTTACACATTTTACTTAAAAAGGCCACTTTGTTATATTATATTTAGCTTTTATTTAATTAACATGAATTATTATTATTTAATATTTTATTAACCACAGCACAGTGGTGCAGTAGTATTGTGGCCTCTCAGCAAGATGGTCCTGGGTTTGAATCCACAGGCTGGCTCGGGCTTTTCTGTGACTGCGTTGGTTCTCTCTGGGTACTCTGGTTTGTTTATTGAAGGAAATGTTTTATTCCAAATGTCTTAAAATTGTAGTTTTTGTGATTGTCTATTAACATAGAAAAACAAGTAGAGTGTGCGGAGTAGGATATAATAGGATATTATAGATGGATGAATATGTAACTAGTCAATTTTTTTTCTCATCGTTTTAGTGTAAATGATGAAGATGTCCGACTAATGCTTTGGGACACTGCTGGGCAGGAGGAGTTTGATGCCATCACTAAGGCCTATTACCGCGGTAAGATTGCACCTCTGCAACAAATAACGTTTGCTTATCCCATATTTCTAGGCTATTTCTAGGCTTCCAACCAGTGTAAGTGTAAGCACTAGTATATATATACATATATATTTCCTAGAGGGCTTATTCTTAAATCCAATCTGTGTTTTTGCTCTTGGACAATGAATTATGCAACATGTGCAACATGCTTTTCTTTTTTTTTTTTTACAAGATGTAACAGCTTGAGAACGTGAACTGTTTGTGTATGTGATCTTACTTTGCAGGTGCGCAGGCATGTGTGCTTGTCTTCTCCACCACAGACCGGGACTCATTTCAGGCTATTGACAGCTGGAAGGAGAAGGTGGAAGCAGAAGTTGGAGATATTCCCACAGTTCTTGTGCAAAACAAAATTGACCTCCTGGAAGAGACTGTTATAAAAAAGTAAGGATTCGGTGGTACAGAAAAGCAATTAACTGTTAAAGAAAAGAGTGCTGACTGTTTATTGAAAATAAGCCTGTTAATTTAGAAGAAAATTAATAAGTGCTGTATTTCCTTCACTTGTACTGCAGTGAGGAGGCAGAAGCATTGGCTAAGAGGCTTAAGCTAAGATTTTATCGCGCTTCAGTGAAAGAGGACCTAAATGTGAATGAGGGTAGGTTACTGAAAATCTGAACAACTGATCAGATGCAAGTAAAATGGCTTGTTTCTTAATGTTACTGTCATAACATTTCTGCTTGTTGTCTTCATTTAGTTTTTAAGTATTTAGCTGAGAAGTATCTACAGCGACTCAAACAGCAAACAGCAGAGGAGACAGAGGTGGTCCACACAACAAGCAATAAAATAGGTAAGAAATCTTTTTTCGTATCACAATTTAAGCTCTGGTGTTTTGTTTTGTTTTTGTTTCTTTTAAATAGCCTTTACTCATTCTTTCTGGGTTTTTTTCCAAAGGTGTTTTTAATACAACAAGTAGTAATGTCTGCAACCAGAGCTCCAGCAACGGCAGAGAAGTCATCACTTTGCGTCCTAACAAGCAAAGAACCAAGAAGACTAAAAATCCCTTTGGAAGCTGCAGCCTCCTCTAGAGAAAATCATTTCATTTTACTGACCGACAGTTATTTCTGACACTAGATTGCTCGTTATTGTAAGCTGTTGAGGTAGCCACAGTTAGTGACCAAAGCTCACATAGACTGGGAAACACTACACTACACTATATTACTTTATTAACCTAATGTTCATCTTCCTCGCCCCATGTTGATAGGTGTATTGCGGTCTCGAATATTCATCAGCGACCTGGGCACAAAACCTAACCTTTGTACATACTTGGATCCTCCTAATGGTTGCCTTAAGAAACAACTGCAGCTACAGTATGTTGTGTTATTAATTTAATGATGCCCAAAACAACTGAAGTTCTAGTTGTTGGTGCAGGTGGATTTTCCCCCTTATGGCCGAGGCTTTTGCTCTTTTTTTTGTTTTGTTTTTTGTTTTAATGAAACTTGACATACCGACTCTCATCAAAGTATGTAACAGCAAAAGTTGCACTCCATCGAGACTTTTCCTTCTGTACGTGGTTATTCTGTTTAACATTTCAGCTGTGCAATACATTTGCATGTATTATAAAAGATAAGCAGATTATTTTATTCCATATTTTTCTAACTGTTAAACAGATAATGGTTCAAACTATATTCTTCGTCCTGATTGAACGCTGAGTTAAATCTCTGCGTGAAGTATTTTTGTACGAAGCACAATAGCTTTGACTGATCTTATGTGCCAAATTTTCTCTTTCTGAGCTGTGGTTAAACATGTGCTCGCATAGATATAGGTATGTAACCAAATATCAATAACCAATGACACAAAAATAGTCCTTTTTCTGTCTGCTTACACTTGTTAAACAAATTATTTTAGACATAAAACACCATTTACACTAAAAAAAAATCTGTTATTTCAATCATAGTACCTCAAGTTACAACCAATTGTCAGTTACAATACAATACTATGCTTTTGATTGCAGTTGTTTACATTGTTTTGTTTATTATTTCTATAGCTTTGACATATATATTCAGAGTACATTAAACACAATACAGAATTCTCCTATTAGTTTTTTGACCTGGATTGTGAAGAACTTTCTCCAGACTATAAAAAAGGAGCTGTATTGGGGCCAGAAAGTGAAAAGAAAAATGAAAGCTCACTGCTCAGTAGGTACTGTACCTGTGGTGTGGAGTTTAGGGCGGGATGTAAACGAATGCTCTCCGAAGGTGTTACAAAAAGTTGGCAATCAAGAGGGGATGTTTTGCTATTGAAGTGTGCCTGATTATGCAAGAAAATTACATTTCTTTCTAACTAAATGAGAGTACTCCCAGAAACAATCTCCCTGTCCTAATCCTTAGTTTTCAATACAACTATCTGTGAAATGTATAATGTATTCACCTTTCCTTCTGTTTTTCAGAACTCATTATTGGGTTACACAGGTTTACCAAGCACAACAAAATATTTAGTAATATAGAAAAGTCTTAGATTAAATCTTCTGTCTTGAATGAACATTTCCTTAGTAGTTTCAGTTGTAGCTATATAATGGAATTATAATACATAGGTCATCTGGGAATACATGTGCATGCATGCTTTACTCTTAAAAGAAAAAAAGATTTCAGCTCTGTGTTCAGATTTTTTTCTATTGTGAAAATACCAAAAGGTGCTTAAAATGTGTTCTACAGTTACACCGTTGGTACTAAGATTGTGTCACATTTCAGTTTCCCATTAGGGTTTTTTTTTTTTTTTTGTAAACTGCTGTTTTGAAGACAAGCAAAGTGGCATAACTGTAATGCATGCAGGCCTTTTCCCCTCCCATATCAGTGAATGTTTAATCATTACAATGCCTTGTCAATGTTTACATTCTTCAGAGTACACATTTTAATCCACCCTTTTGCTGTTTTTTTTTAATTGCCTTCACAGTAGATCTGTAAGTAATGTTTTTCTCAAGCTTGTGCTAGTTTGTGTTTACTTTGTCTTTTGACTGACTTGATTCACTGCACTTTATCATTAAGATGGCGTATAATTTTAAAGAATCAGCAGTTAAAACTAACCATACTTAAGTGCTGTCACTCAGGTGTAATCTTTGTGTCTTAATTTTACTTTTACTTTTTCTCACATGACTTCATTAGCAGATTCACACCTTTAGAAAGACAAACCAACTTGTGTTGGCTTTCAGCCTGAGAAAAACGACACGACTTGCAGTTTTGTTGTGTCACACCCTGGAGTGCGCCACACAACTGTGTGTCTATTGTTTTGTTTGCGAGGCAGTGTTTGGTGGCAATCTGATATAAATAAAAAATTTCTTGAGCATCCATTGTATGATTACATGACAGTTTCATTAACCAGAATGTTGTTATTATTTTAACTGGGTACATTTAGTTAGAGTGAATAAGGTTAGGTAATTTTAGAAGTGCAGACAGTTTGGATAAAAGATGGTTGTCTGTACCCGTGGCAGTTTTACAAGTTAATAAACAACTAACATGGGTGTAGAAGTTTAGCCTTGCTCTTAGTACCTTGACACGAGAAACTCATACCTCATGATCCTCATATTCTATGTTATTTCATATCCTTATGCCAAATAATAGATGAGTTTGCTCAAATGCCATCCGCTGGGGAAGAGCAAGTGATAATATGTAGGGCTCCTAGACAAAGGCAACCTCTACTTACTTAAAACATTGTATGCCCTTTGCACTGCTGACATTGTTTTTCTATTTGATACAAAACAACTAAGTGTTGTAAGTCTCGATTTTTAAATTTGTCCTATAGATTATCCTCTACACCACGTGTGTGGACACGTGGTGTAGAGGATAATGCCTCTAAATAAACAGAGGCACTTGCCACATGCTGCACTGTATATTTAAAGAAGTCTCTGCCCGACACTCATAAGACAACAGGTTTATTTCGTTTTTTGACACGTGATCTGAAATAAAACTCATGTGCAAATACAAAATAAAATCCATATATCTTGTGTTGATTTCACACAAAGAGGTAGTGTGTGCACTTACAAAATCAACTACCTAAATTTAAAAGTGAGGCAATGAAACAAAAAGAGAGTTGTTTAATTCATTGCTGTTCAGCATCTTTTACTGCACTAGGTGCATATGTGAACACACACATACATTGTATAAACATTAAGTAACCAATATTAAGTAGATCAATGTAAAAATGACAATGATTTGGTAAAACTGGATATTTGTTGCTCACTTTTCTTGCTACAAGTAGCAGCCTTCTGAAAGCGAACATTCAAGGCACATTTAATGCTTTGGTGATGAGTCTTATTGACTACCGTTTGCTTTTGTGTTCTCGAGTTTTTGATGATCCATAATCTTGATGTTCTTTTCAGCATTTTCAACATTTCTCAATAGAGTCTCCAGCCTCCGCTTTATGTTCTTCTGGTCCTCCAGAGCGCAACCGATCACAATGGCCTGAAACTTCTGGTCGATGGGAATGGCCGGTGCTTCAGTCACACATGCGGCGTGCAGGGCCAGTAGCTTCTGCCTGCTCCCCTCCATGTCGTCCAGCAACTTTTTCACTATTTCATCTATGATGGATGTGGCTTTTTGTAGCGCCTCCTCCTGCTGCGGGTTTCTGATTGTCCCAACAGAGATTTCCACAGACAGCGTCCGGCCCATTAAACGGTCTGCAGTTAAAGTTAACTCCTCTCTCTCTCCTAAGAGACACGACACATAGGGGAAAAAATAAAATAAAATACATACTTTAAGTGAAAAAATACATTTACCACAGATAACTAGGTTTTGTAAGGGGTAGCATGTTGGCTAGATTTATCTAAATTCAAATCCTTGCCCTTGTCTTTATTATCTGAAGTTTCCATGTTCATGACTGTGCTCAGTCTACCAGAAGCCAGGGACACAGTTATTTTATGCAGTGTAAAACAACAGGGTGGGCTTACACATCTACACTTCAGATCTGCAAAGCCTTTCTAAAAAAAATTCTCTGAGAGACAAAGCAGCTGGTGTAAAAACAATCTACAGCAGATAAATAGAAAGAAAATCAAGTCTGCTGAATTTGAATTTTCTGCCTCAAACTGTCATCAGTATGTATGGAGGAGGTCAGGAAAGAGACACAGCAGTAAGTATCAGCGGTGTTAGGGATCGTGTCAAAATTGATGAATTATGAACACAGAAAACTACCGTCAGATTTTGATCCACCATGCAGTACCATCTGGAAAGCATCTGATTGGCTTCATTTTTCAGCATGACAATGATCCCAAACACATTGCTAATGGATTAAAAGCCAGACAGAGGAAACACACAATGGAACACTATCTGTAATGGACTGGACTCCCCAGAGCCCAAAGCACAACATTACTGAAGCAGGGTGGGATCGTTTTGACAGAGAACAGAACAAAAGGCAGTAGCCCAAATTCTGTTTTGCCACATATATTTTGTATTTCCATTTATTTGTGCATGTTTTACTACATCACTGCACTTATTTCCACTTTACTGTCAATGTAGAAAGAAATAAGGAGTGGCTCAAGACTTCTGCCTAATACTGTACACTGTAATGATTTCTTTGCAAGTGGACGCTTTCTTTGGAAACAAAAAAGAAAAGAAATACGGGTAATCAGATAAAGACTGCAGGTGGTTTTCAATGAGCATGTTCAGCCTAGTTTAGTGCCTTCATTAAAATAGAGCTTGATGTATAAATGACATCCATGAGCTGTAAACAACTACTTGGGTGGAACTCTTTAAATCATCAGATATTCACGAGCCCACCTCCACCCAACAGCAAAGTTAACTTTCAAAGCGTGTCTTCATTGGATCACAATGTTGCAGTGGCATCAGAGCAGAAAATACAGGAATTCAAAACACAGCAAAATGATACTAGGAGGCTATATGTTCACAGTGACATCAACCAGCGCGTGACTTTTGAGTTCAAGTTGTGATAGTCAGCAAGCCGCCTCACCAGCACAGATGTTACGCATTTCTTGACTGTTCTGTAGAGATTGAATCATTTCCAAGATGCACTCCCTTTCCTGCTCCATGGCCGATGCCGCTTCGCGTAAAGACTCCACCCTGTTGGAAACAACAAAGCATGACAATAACCGTCCATTGAAAAGCATCCTTAAACTGCGAGAGTAATGATTATGAGGCTGTGAGCTACGAACCTAAAGCAACCCACCTATAAAACATGTGATCATTAACTGTTCTCGGAAAACCGCTAAGAAATTAAAGCTACTTTTATGGCACATTTTAAGCGCTGTAATAACTTGTTATAGAAAATGTGAGCAGTCATATATATCCCACAAACGACAATGCTTGAATAGGTGGCTCATGCTAAGGCCCGTTACTTAACTACCTCATTTCCAGCTGGTCCAAACTTTCCAGCAGCCGCCCCGAGCGATCTGCCATGGATAGCGTCCTGCTGAACTTGCTACAGGTAGCCTCGTTCATCTTCGCCTGTATTTTTGCTTGAGCCATGATGATGAACACCCGTCACAAGGCTGATCCGTTCCGGAGTAAAAACAAATCCCGTGTGCGGTCAACTCCGAGCTGTCCAGCTGACTGTAGCTCCACCGGCTGCTGCTGCAGCGCCCCTGGGAGAACATTTCCAAACATGGGCTGTGACTTCCTTCACTCACTCCTCATAGAAGCTTCCCGAGGAGCCCAGAACTATGCTCTCAAAACGAGGGTCCGAGGACCCCTTGAAGGACCCCGGAAACGGCCGTCCGGCCCACAGAAAAACGAGCTAGGATTTAAATTAATAGGATAACAGTCACTATTTTGTGTTCAACAAAACTAGTTAATAGACTGCTGAATCCACCACCAAAACCTTTTAACTCTGACAGTGATTTATGTCAATGACTAAAGTACTATAAAATATATATATTAAAAAAAATTTATACTATATTGTAAATTCCTTACATTACATGAGGAGTTTTTACTCACCAACAAAGGCATCTTCACCTCTGGCACTGCAGTTAGCCTGGAGCTGCCAAATTCTACAACCAGGAGCCCAGTGCTAATTAACTTGTACTGTGTCAGTGCACAACACCCAAGACTTACCTCATAGTCAACTATCTTCAAAGCTTTTGCTCTTTAGCCAACTTGCCCAAAATCACATATCTGGCTTGTAACAGCCAAGGGAATGGAAACTTTGACGGATATATTGCAGTTGAGTACAATATAATAATTCTGAATTCATATTTTCAGTGTTAATCCATGAAAAGGAATTGGCTACCCAGATCAGTGTATGCAGGGATGAGCTGTTAATTTTATCCAAGAGCCCACATGAGAAACTGGTACTGCGGTAGTCCCAGTTTGTAATGTGGGCCCCTTGGGAACATTAATTGCTGGGTATACGAGTTTTACTCGAGTGCACTCTTAAGTGTGTGCACCAAATTAACACATTTCTGGAGCACAACAATTATGTGAATTTATATTGCAGACTTCTGGGTATTGCAAAAGCTTTTTCCTTAAGAAAAATAATCTAACATTCTAGCGTAGAAGGATCAGGATTCACATGACACCATGCGAAGAGTCTGTGACATACAATACACTGGAAAACAGAGCGCAACTGGAGACACAGCACTGTGGTCACATGTTCAGCTCAGGCATCTTGCAGTGTGGTGGATGCCATCTATAGCACACGTGTCGAAACACTCTGGCTCCTCACAAGTATCAAGCTTACAAAATTGCAAATCTGCAAGGTTCAGTTTGGTGTCCACTTACTGCAAATAATGAAAAACGCAGAAAAAGTAAGAAACAGGACAAACATTTAATTCTTTATTATATTCTGAACACGTTACCTTGTACAAAACATTCTAGTATAACGTTCGATGAACAGCATGTTACAAAAGCACTACTGGCTTTCTCAGAACTCCAGGAGGCTTCTTTTGAGAGCTTCTTCCAACTCTGTGAAAACAAATTACACGAGAAAACCTTCATTCATACCAGCATGGCCATATGGAAAACACTACAAACTGCATCATTTCAACAACACTGAGAACATTTTATGTTGACCACAATGTCATAACTTTAACATTTCTCTTCTTTCATATCTCCAAATCTATTTATAGTGATCCCCAAAAGGTTTCCTTCGTCTTTGAGCCAGCAGAGCCTTTAGGTCATCCACACTCCCCGCCCCCCTCTTCATGACGTCTCACAGGTGCCGTAAAGATCGACTCTCACTCCGTGCCGACATCGTTCTAAAAATCTTCTCCTGGGAAAAATATTCTTTCAGTAGGCAGCTGCTTTGTTTTAGATTTCATATTTTGATGAAATCTAAAATCTGGACACTGATTGGAGTTTCTTACTCCATTCAAGAGATCAGCATGAATGATAAATTTGGACTTGTCTGAAAATAACACCTTCAAAAGCTGCAGACTTTCTGTGCGTGTTATTTGTAAATTTAAGCCTAGCTGTCCCAGTCTGTGAGCTGGATAGTTTCCGCTCCCCTCTACCCACACTTCGTCTTTGAAATGAGCTGTGTCTGTAATCCTGCTCAAAGCACTCCTCTGTGGCGTTTCTAAGCATTTTTTGTAATCTGATGGTGGCCTTTCTGAGTGCCTTTTGTTCCGAGGACTGACTTCTCTCTTCATCTTTCTGAAAATATTTCATAACCATGGAGGATTGAAGATTGAGATGGTCAGATGAACGTGTCATCCTATGCTTGAGCTCACATCACCGTCTTTTACTGTTTGTCCCCAGTAGGAAGGGAATTTCTGAATTTCTGAAGAACCTGTTTACACAGATGTAATTCATCACATTACTTTCAGATTTAAGCAGCAGGTTCCTGCTTTCTCAAATGTAAGCCTGACATCATTTTAGTACACGAAACTACAGTCGAGTTTCTCTTTCATCCTTTTGATCAAACACATTCTTTATCTCGATGTTTGTTAAATGTGTTCAAATTCCTCCAAGCAGTGAGTCACGGTTCGATTCCTGGCCAGCCAGACTGCGAGTGCACATCACACTGCATCTCCCATATTTCCTGTCTGTTCCTATCTAATAAAAGAACAAAAAAACTCTCCCAGAAGGCTGGGAATAAACCTCACTGAACCAACTGTTCAAATATTTTTTAAGCCTGCATGTTATCCATTGACATTTTCATTCCTTAATGTGCAGGGCAATGTTAACAATCACCGACTGTATAACTTACTGGATGTTTATCTGAATACAATAACAAAAAAATACAATATGTCGTATTGTACTGACTTACAAACTGTTCAAAAGAGAAAGAGACTATATCCTCAGCCCTGCACACACATACCTGCTGACTCTTGTCCTTCTTCTGCGCTCAAAGACAGCGCACGTTTCATTTCATCATCCGATTCAACTGTAACAGAATACAGAGTCGTTTATCCAAGCTGTTAAAAATCAAGATTAATGAGGATACTTTAAGACAAGTAAATCAGTGTGTTTTTGTTTGAGAGGACATTCATAGGATTAATTATGCAAATAATTATTAGCAGTTGAGCTAAAGCAAGAATTCTCTTTAAACAGACAGCCGTTAGGGTCTCATGACGAAAAGAGAGAAAAAAAGAAGTAGCGTTTATTTAGTATCCAGTCTTTTCTTTCTAGTTACAGGTGACAACAAAATTATTAGTCCCCTATTAAAATAAAATAAATTAAATTAAAAAAATTTGTCCAGTTCAAACTTGCTCTAGTACTTTTTTAATAGAGCTAAGGATTTTCAACATAGGATTACTAAACACACTAGTTTTCTATAGGAAGCATAAATTATTTCTATTTGCACACAATAACAGAATTGTTTCAGATTTTTTTTTTTTTTTTACCAGGGTCAATAATATTTGCTCCCTGAGAAAACTGGCCTTTTTATTTAGCTATAGCAAAAACCACCACTGTGCAATGATGTGCTTTATTTTTGTAATGCTCAAAGCTTTTAAAATCATTAAAGCTGTGGGTTTATCTTCCAATTTAAAGAAAGCATAAGAACCTCAAAAAGAGTTTGAGTTATCATGTGAAAAACACCTTTGTCAAAGTCAAAGAAATCCTGAAGGAAAAAAAGATATGAGAAAATTTTTAAAGAAAACCAGGAAAATTGGGTCTGAGCAGTCACTTTGTCTTTCAACATGACAACATAAACAATAAGTCACTCCTGGTGAAGAACTACCCCAGAAGACCAAAGTCAGCATTACTGGCTGGACTGCTCAAAGACCTGACTTGATGTGGGGTAAACAGAAGACCAAGGACTATGCCAGGAGCCCATCAAATCTGAACGCATTTGAGAGACTCGGCAAAGAGGAATGGACAGGGATTGCTCAGGCGATGTGTGTGAGACTTGTTGAAAACTACAAAAAACTATTGCAGGCTGTTATCCAGCAAAAAGGATACACCACCTATTAGCATCAGGATGACTTATCTGGTAGTTTGTGTAAATAATTTGGTTCCTGTGTGCAAAATAAAAATAATGTAACCAATAAAAATCTAAGATTTTTTGAAAAGCTGTGATTAAAATTCTTTCCTCTGTTTAACAGCACTTTAAAAAAAAATAAAATAAATAAAAATTCATAGGGGGACTAATAATTCTGGCCTCATCTGTATATCAGTGATATATATATGTATAGTTTACTGCCTACCTTCCTGCACTTCACTCTCGTCATTCGTGTGATCAATGTTCAAAAATGTCAGCGTTTCGTCGTCAATCTCTGCGAACATGAATACAAATTAACATCCAAAAACAAGACATTAAATGTGAATCAGTTTAACAGATTTACCATTGCTGTCTGGTTTGATCTCCGCAGCATTAGGTATCATTGGAGTGGTGGGTTCGGCTTTTGAGCTTTTCCTGCAGGTCCTGGAACTCATGCAGGGATCCAGTGTACAATGTTGCAAGTGGTAGTGTTTATGGAAACTCGGTACATCCATAAAACTCTCTTGGCAGTCTTTGCATCTGATGTCAAAGCTCCTGTCCAGGTTCAAGGCTGTGTGTTTTGTGTGGACATGAGTCTTGATCTGTGCATAGGATGGAACAGATACATCGCAAGGCACACAGATGTACTGGCATTTTTCTTCCGCAGCCAGATTCCTCATGCATTGTGTGTAAGTGGCTTTCATGTCCTCTTTACTTTTTTCCGAACCCATGCACGGGCATGTAAACTGACTGGTCCTCTCAGCGGCAGCATCAGCAGCATCTGGCTGAACAACTTCAACCTCATCCATGCAGTAGTAGTCCTTACTGTGAAGATTCTTGTAGTGCTCAAAAAACTCCTCCTCAGATCCAAACTCCATGCTGTCGCAGAGGCCGCAGAAATAGGAAGTTTTTACAAGCCCATCATGCTCATTCATACAGTGTCTCCGTACGGTGGACTCTTTGAAGAACTTCTGTGGACAGTGTCCGCAGACGAATCTCTGAAAGCTGTGACTACTAACATCGCTGCAGTGTTTACGGACGGCAGCCTCCGAGTCAAAGACATCCTCGCACATCCTGCACATCCAAGACTGCTCTACTTTTGAGGAAGACACCTCTGTGCTCAGCTGGACTTTGGCCACAGACGAGGAGTGAAATGTGACGTCACTGCTAGTGGATGGCTTGACATCAACGATTATGGGAAGCTGCTCAGGCACTTCTTGTTCACTGAAATACGTGTGTCCGCTGTGAGCTCCGGACACGTGTGACAGGATGTCTTCGTACCGAGGCATTTCCACTTTGCACTTGCGGCAGTAGAAGAGGAAGTTGGAGAGATGAGCGCCCCCGTGAAAGCGACTCATATGCAGACGTGCAATGGAAGACTCCCCCATATGTTTGCCACACACGCCACACTGATGGAAAATTTGGTTCACAGCCAGAAGGTGCTTACTGGCTCCAGCCTCGTCTGAGAACTGAAGACCGCACTCGCAACACCAAGCTGTTACGCTCCCGCTACTGGTGACAGTCACACTTGTCCCCAAGCTCTGCTGTTTAGCTGGAAATCTGTCATGGTCGTCGCTCTTCCTGTTTCTTTTGAGAGGTGTTGCAAGGCCAGTGGTCTCCTCTGTGTCTGTTGAGTCTCTAGCTCTCTTCAAGTGTTGAATTTCACTAAACCTGCAGTGCTGAAGAAGTGCTTTTGCCATTGTTTGGTTGAGTTCAACTTCATGCTGCATCGACTCCCTGTGTCTCTCAATTTCAGCTTGGCTGAGGAAGATTTCACAGCAGACAGAACACTGTCCTCGCACTTGCAGCTGATTCATGACCTGCACTATCGTCTTGTCAGCTTTGGCCACAGCACAGCCCTGTCTGCAGTACACACTAAAAAGAGGAAAATGAGGGACAAGGGCCATAAAAATGAGTTTCATAAAGGATCTGAATACAATCAGTGAAATATATATAAAGAGGTTTCACTACATTCAAATGTTGTAAAAAAACAAAACAAAAACAAAACTTACTTAAAGTGAGCTTGAGCTGCTTGATGGGAGATCAGTACGTTATGACACAAAGAGCAGCGGACACTGAACGCTACATCTTTGCACAAGGCGATGAGACGATTCTTGACATGTTGAGGGACAGGGACTGGCAGCGGACTTCCTGTGGGTTTTTTAAAATCAAATGTAAAATAAAATGCAAATTGGCTCATTTAGCTACTTTCCAGTATCTAAGATCTTCTAGAACCACACAAACAAAGGTAACCTGAGTAAATATAAAATGCTGTTTTTAAGTAATGATTTTATTTATTAGAGGAAAAAAAGAAAAAAAGAGAAAAAAAATTACCTCTTAAGGCGAGTGAGTCTTTGAAGTGGCTTTCGGCTGACATGTGCTGGAGACACTCGTCTCTGAGGTTGAAGAGGTTGTAGCAGGCAGGACATGCAAAACACACAATTCGCTGATACATCTGGTTGATGCTATGACCATCGGCATTAGACGAGGACACCTAGTAACCAAAACAGTTCTGAATTATTACACCATGCAGGGATTCAGGCTGCAACTTCTAATTGCACAGTCAGAAAAGTGCACAGACCTTCGACTTAACGTGGTTCCTCCAGGATTCTTTGGCCTGAAAATTCTTTCCACATGCAACACAGGCAAAAAACTCTGATGGACTTCCTTTAAGATTGATAGTCGGGTCACATGGGGAGTGATCAAACCTGCATACAAGAGCTTTTACTCAATACATGTGCAAGAGACAACCATTTTTTGTGAGGAAAACAGTTAAGCCGCTGCACCAACACACTCACGAATGAAGAATTATTACCTTTTCAAGTGTCCATCAAGGAGGGAAGCATTATCATAAACTCGACCACAGTTAATTACTGGACAAGTATGCCTAGTTGAGATAGTTCTGTGGAAAGAAGCTCTTTGTCTTCCCTCGGAACCAGCACTGATCGCTCCAGGTTTAAGACCTAGATAAACACAATATTGCAGTATGTTAAGTCCCACAAGCCACTCCACTGACAACTATAACAGAAAATTGCACCAATAAATCATTGATTTGACCCCGGTGGATGCAAGCCACTCTACACCACTAGAAGGTTTGTTTAGAATTCATTCAAAACATTTCAAGCCATTGTGTTTACAGATAGACAGAATAACATGTACACATGCAAACACTACCAAAAACATGACCTCCTTGGCAGAGGCAATTAGCATACTGATAGAAATGTAAAAAACAAACCAAAAAGACAAAAACAAACAGCAACTACGTAACAGGAAAATGTTTTAAAAGTCGTTCTACTTATTTGAGTAAAACAACTACAACAGATTTCTAATTCCGATCAATAATTACCTGGCATCTTTAACCACATGTCTACACAACGTTTGGCTTCCTGATTAATCCCATTTACAGCGCTAACAGCCAGCTCCTGTTGTCCATGAGCTTTTTGTAGGATCTGCTTCTCCTGAAAAAGGGACAAAGACGTAACACGTAAGATATTTCCCTCACATAGAAAACACAAAACAAAACAAACAAACAAAACAACACATCAGTGAAAACCAGTTGACTGTTTAATGTTGGTTCTCCAAGTAATGTTGCATGTTATGAATAGACTACCTTCCCCATTTTTTGTGCCCACAGGGGGGCACTGCTGCTCATAAAGTTGGGCTTAATCTACCCATACACTAACCCAGTAAAATCTTGGTGAGGATCTAAAGTTGAGTTTAAATTTCATGTTCTTTGTGAATATGTTAATGAGCACATGTATGTGTTAGCAATTTAAAATTCATAGTAAAATTTATTTTACAACAGTTCACATAAAGCATAAGGCAATGCATCTTTTCTTTCCTGCTGTGCATAAAAAAAGGTACAGATCTGAATGGAAACAGTGAAAACAGAATAAATTTTCTGATAGGCTAAATGATTAATGAAAGTCCAACAAACAACAAATGACAGTGGCTCAGTTTATCTGTCAACAACCTTACCTTGAATGCTCTGCATTTATCTGCTCGTTCCTTTTTCTGTACAGCCACTTGGTGCGCCAGTCTATCCAGGGTAGATGTAACACGTGCTTTATGTCGGCTGATTTTATCTTCAAGCTACAATTGAAAGAAATAATGTGTTTTTAAGAAAAAAAGGATATTAACATATGAATTAAAAGGATTAAATAACCAAATGATCTGTTTAAAAAAAACTTACTGTATTGGGCAATGATGAACATCCCTCATCCTCACTGTCACTCAACAGGTCAATACATTCCAATACTGGTCTGAGAGGGCCCTCCTGCATTAAAAAAAGAAAAAGAAAGAAAAACATCAACACTATTTCAGGCTTATAAAACACATCTAAAGTCCAAATCATAAGGACCTGGACAGTATGAGACATCAGTGAATTGAGAGAAAAAAAATAGCCGTCTGTTTATTAGGCTTCATTGACGTGACAGTGAACAATGCCACTAGTTTGAAAACCAAAATGTTATCATTTTCAACTAATATTTATTTAATAGAGCCAGAGTGCATATGACTTACTGATACAAACTCGACTTCTTTTTCCACCTCGTCTTCATCTGCGTCAACTGGGGAGGACATGTTCCTAAAGGTAACGGGAAGATAACACGTTTTCAAGCTGGAGTACGTACTTATAAAGCTTAGCGACAGTTCTTCGGACAACACAGTAACAACTATATTTACTTCTTTTGGTGCAATTAGCTTAACAGTTACGTTTAAGCTAAGCCTGAACAACACAGACAGTTAGGCAAAGGAAACAGTAGCAGCAGGATAGCTTAGGTCTCGTAGCAAATATGCGAGACGTTGAGCAAACGAATATTAGCATGCACCTTTTTTTGAAAACTTCTTGTCGTTGTCAAGCCTTTTAAAAGTAGGAAAATACGACTTGCTTTAACGAGGGTCACCCGTGTAGAAATTCAACATGGGGGCATAGTTTCTTCCTCGTTTCGCCACCTCATTTAGTACTTCTCTTCGGTGCTGCCTCTCATGTGGGAGCTGCTCTACAGCAACTATTCAACGACTTAAATCAGTGTTGTTGCAGTATACCTGTTAACCAGCGGCGGCAGGAGTAAGCTGTGAGCTTCTAAACAGCACTTCAAAAGTGGAACGAAGAAGAAGTTACGCGCCACTACACTATGGTGGTGCGTTCACAGGCTTCATGAAGTTCGATGATCATAGTATGTAAATCAAAGCGATTTTTACACACATTGAAATGATCGAAGTTAAAAAGCCCTACATGTCACCGAGAATTCACTCATCTTCTGCTGGGGGATTGTTCTACCAACCATACTCTGGTGAAGACTATTATTAGCAGTGATATCTCCACTCTGAAAGAAATAACTCATGGGTCCCAAACACTCACTGTGTGAGATATGCAAGATAATATTATGTTGTGTAATGTTAGATTTTAAAAAAATTAAAAACTGTAAAGTGTTTGCAGTTTTGGCGTTTTCACACCGCTTAACTAATGTCCGCTTCGTAGGGTATTACTGGAAGTGTTTCTGAAACTAAAACCCCCATTCCCACAAGGTGCTACACGACCTTCTCTAAAAAAAATAAATGGATGCCGACGAGGGGCTAACGTCTGGTAAAACCGATCAAATGCGGCATAACTGAGACTCATAGTTTAAATTAAGATAAGCATCGCATTACCTGTGCCTGTGTTGCTCACTCTGTCAGATTGGTAGCTCACTGCTACAACATCCCAAATAAACGTAAACGCAGCTAGTCCGGACGTCATGACGTCATGCGGACGCGGGTGCGGTTTTTTTGTTCGCAGAGTGTGCGCCGCGTGGACGGAGCTTGGGCTTGCTACAAAATACACGAGAGAACAAAGTCCGCCTCTGCGCTCTTATCTAATCCGGGTCGAAGCGCGATGATGTTACCAACTACAACTATTTTATTCTAGTTATCCCCGCCAGAGGCGCCAACTTTACCTAGATTCATATTGGAGAGATGAATTGTACACCTTCATATACATAAACACCAAACACATATGTAAATAGCAGCATTACATGGTGCTCATCTGCGCCCTTCTCTACCACGTTGTTGAATGCAGAATACACATCTACTCTATTCTGTAATTCTAGTTTCATCATGCATTGATTTGCAAATCTCATAAACAAATATTTTATTCACAATAAAAAAAGTATAACACATCTCAAAAGGGTGGGGGATAGGGCCATGTTTACTGCTGTGTAGCATGCCCTCTTCTTTTAAAAGGAGTCTGTAAACGTTTAGGTTCTCTAATGAGTCCAATTGTTGGACTTTTGGGAGAGGAATCTTTTCCAATTCTTTTCTTATATAGGATTGTAGTTGCTCCACATTCCTGGGTCTTCTTTGTTTTATGTTATTTCGTGATGTGTCAAATGTTGTCAGTTGGTGAAAGTATAGAGTTTAGTGTCACCTTGTTGAAATATGCACACCTTACAACATTGATTGTGGCCTTCCAGATGTGCAACCACAGAACAGTTTTGTACTTTAAAAGAGTCAATTTTAAGGGAGCTTTGTCCCAGATCAGACAGCAGCATTTCTGGATCATGTTCACATAAGGTTTTCTTGTTTGCATGCCTAAGCTTTAACTTGCATTTGTGGATGGTACTGTGAACTCTGTTCAAAACACATGCAGTGATTTCCATAGCAGGATCATCAGGTTCGTAATGCAGCGCTGTTTGAGGGCTCAAATATCGCAGGCACCCAATTTTGATTTTCTGTTGATGATGTTATGCACTGTAGACAATGAAATATTCAAGGTCTTCACAATTCTACACTGAGGAACGTCATTCTGAAACTGTTCCACATTTTTTAACCTCGTTTTTTGCCGACTGGCGAACCTATAGCCATCTTTACTTCTGAAACACTCTGTTTTGACCTGTTGGCACTGAGCCTAGTCCCTTGCAACATGCTACTCCAGCTGTTTCTTTTTAGCACCACCTCCAGGCTTTAGTTGCCCAAATCCTGACTGTTTCTAGATGTGCTGATGACATCAATAATAATAATGGGGTTTTTTTTCATGAAATAGTAAAATGTCTTAGTTGAAAGATTAGATTTTTTATACTGTTCTATTGTGACTAAAAAATTCAGTTACAATCTGTTTTTATCTACATTTTATACAGCATCTTACTTTTTTGGATATGGGTTTCATTCTGTTCTGTTCTCTTCTATTTATTAAAACTCATATGTTACATATTTGACACAGGCAATATGATATCACTGCATTTATGGCAATATGCAGTGATATTTATAGCAGGCCATGTAGTTAGAAAGTTAAAGCCAAGCACACAGACATAACCAGGATTCAAACAAGGTGAAAGAAGATCTGTAGGTTGTGTTTTGTTGTTGTTGTTGCTGTTTTATGACAAATGATAACACCTTCAGACATTTTAGTATAGCCTTGTGCAATCTAGGGCATCAGTTGCAGTTTGTAAGTACACAGCTTTTACAATAACTTATAAAGCTTACATTTTGTAACACAGTTTAATTCAATAATACTGAAAGCTGTACTCTTAAACATCAAAGATGACCTGATGGATAATGAGAACTAATTCTTTTATTTGAAAAATAAAATGTCGATTTTTATGTCTAACTATTGGGATGATTATATTTGTAAGTTGGTAAATGTATGAGTGACACATACAACTATACATATCTTGTTATACGTAAGTGGAAAATTATTTATTTACTAGTCTAAGAATTTAAATAGAATAGTCGTAATTTACATACCTACGCCCACAATGTGCGGTGTTGTATAAACACGTGTTTTTCTCCTGCCACACTTTGCTTGTCTGAGTCTTTCATTTAGCAGAAGGAGAGATGATGTCATCTCACCCCAAAATTACATAACCCGTGTTGGCTTATGATCAGAGTTTCTGTTCGCTCTAATCCTCAAAGTATCTGTGCATAGGACCTGCCTCATCTCAGCACCTATCATACATTTTAAAACCATACTGGGTAGACTTGCTCTACAAAATACAAACGATATTTCATTTCCGGCCAAAAACATGCTGTATGTGTATACAGTGGCGATGACACTCTAGATCACATTTAAAAATATTAAACCCTACTAGTGCAGTACATCCACGGGTCTACACGGATTAGTGTTATTTACTATTGCAGCGTTATTCGTGTGGGCAGCCCCCTCTGCAGCAGATTACAGTGATGCTGGGATGAATCTGCTGACTCTCCCTGCCCCTGTTAAAAAATAAATAAATAATTTAAAGTGGCGTCTCTGCTGAGTCATGCATTGTACCCCACAATAATGATATCAATAGTCTGGGCTGTCCTTTCTGGACCTGTGCGCTCTCCACGGTTTACTGTGCGATGCTTCACGTATGTCAGTGAGTGTCTTTATTCTCTTGCCGAGTTATCAGCGACATAACGGCAGCGGAGGAGCCGGCTGTCTGAGGCTGCCAGATCTGCCCTATATCTCGTCTTATGATGATCGCTGCGGCGTTTTTGGTCCTACTAAGGCCGTACAGTATTCAATGTGTGCTGCTGTTGTTGTTGCTTTTGCTGGGGACTATTGCGACAATTTTGTTTTTCTGCTGCTGGCATCGCAGGCTTCGTAATGGAAAGCATCCAATAAAATCTGTGCTCTCTGGACGCCCCAAGAACCGCGGTGAGTAGCGTACAGGCCAGCCGCATCTTCTCCTCCTGACAGCTCAGGGTACATATATTCATGTAGCCTACAGACATTAGAGATACGTGTAATCGTTCATAGTCTGATTATGTTTATCTTTTGTATATAAAAGCAGAGTCATCACTGTTAACGCCTGTTCGGGCTGTGAGACTCAGAGGTGATGCTGTGCGTAAAGTAACCTGAAGCATCTTAAACTTGTTATTACTTCTGACCAAATGCATATTTCTTAGCCGAGCTGCAGTCATTGCAATGTTTTACATCCTAACATCTTTTTTGTAACATCTGTTATCTGTCTTATAGTTGGCCTGCGAACGCATCATTTTCGATCAGAGGTAGGATGAACTTTTTACATAATGGCTTTGTCACCTAATAGCCAGGAGGAATGGTCACTTGTGTTAAAGTGAGACTACATTTAAGCTTTAAGCTGTGATTTAACCAACGCTTCACCTTAAAGAGCGTTTCTTTTAGACTTTTATCGAGGGCTGCATGGCTATTTTAGGGTCTATGCTGTGCGCAGTGCGCATGTGTTATCAATAAATGATGTGGGTGATATTGCAGTTTCACTACTGTTTTTCCCCAGAAACACATGGGTTAGAGCTAACTCTGAGTCCACAGAAACCGCTTTTTTTAAAAAAAAAAAAAAAACGATCCACAATATCATTATGTTAAATGTCATTTGGTGCTGACGACTGAAAACACGAAGACCATTTTCTGTCGATCCGTTTCCGTTTTAAGCTTTTTTGCTTTCAAAATAAAAGTAGAAATGGTTTAAGAAAATAGCCATGTAAGTACTAAGCTTTTAGCCTGGAAGAGAATGATTACGAATAAAAATAAGCGCTACAACAGCTATGCTAAACTAAAAATTAACATTATGTTATGGATAAAGCTGTTTTAGTAGCCGGTTTTAATCTTCCTGACTTGGCCTATGAAAGAGATAGCCTCTTTTTAATTACAATTGCAACTATGGAGTTGTTGGAAACTAATGACAGTGTAAGGTTTTAGTAAAGCTATTCTTTATTTCAAGTGCAACATTGGCAGACCAGTGTTATGGCCAACCACACTGCTATAGAATAGAATGCAGTTCTCTTGTTTTTATATTTGCAAAACCAAAAGCTTGCCTTCATTTGTAGGTCATGTTATTGAACCACATGATACAGAATCCCTACTGACTCAGTACTTTAGCTGGTAGGGATTCAGTATCATGTTCAAGGTCATCAAATGCAGGGCAGTTTTAGAGCCTTAATGTTGTAAAACAGTGTCCTCAATCTTTAAGAAAACTTGAGATAAATGTAATTTCAAAAAGCACATTTTCTCTTCAGAGTGACTGAAGTTTCTGTGTGATCAGCCTATAAAGTAACAGCATCCCACCTCAACTTTAAACCTGAACTGCAAACGCTGT